GTAGTAAATTGGTATTGATGCTGTACACAGTAGAGGATGCCGATTGGCATATAATATTCGAAGAAATCAATAACAAAGAGCATCCAGTGCGAAAATTAGAATTACGACCAAGACACATCGACAGTGAATTGGTCGAACCTGGTTTTATCGAATTAACAAAAGCTATTAAAGATTGTACAGTATTCATCAAGGTCAGACTTTATTTTGGTTCCTTTTCAGCGAGTAAAAAAAAATGACTGTTTTATTGGAAACACTGAACAACAATCAATCCATCAAACATTTATGACTGATGTTAGAAGATTGGGTCTTAGCAGTTGCACGTGCATTCAGGCAAATATTGACGGACAGTCGAACTTTGCTTTCTCTCAGCGTTTTCACCTCTGACGAATCAGAAGAGTCCCATGGGTAAGTAAATCTGTCATAGATCAAAGTATTCTTATATACCACTTTGCTGTTTATGTTTCAGATCTACTATCTCAATGACTCTTGAGTTTGTTGTTGAATTAGCTTCCTCTCTGCAGACAACTGTAATTGAATGGCTCGAAATTAATAGCATGACTGATGAAGGCTTGCAAGTGCTTGTACAATATTTGCCAAAGACACTGATTCATCTTGACTTGTCCGATAACAACTTTTGCGAAGACAACATTTCTATCTTACGTTCGTATCTTGACTCAAATGGTAGTAATCTCCAAGAATTAATTCTCGATCACAGCCTCGCGACACGATACTTGCAACAACAAGAATCGTCATCATTATCGACCGTTAAGATCATGCATAATACTAGTTTGGAAGCTACGTTGTCTCGCAAGCGCCATGCATTCTCACTATAGAACTGCACAAGATGGACGATAGTGATTGGTCCGTATTGTTTAGGGAATTAGCAAAAGATAATACAATTTGCCCTGTAATACATCTGTGCCTTGTTGACAAATTGGATCGAAATAGATTGAACTATTTCGAAATTCTATGGGGCAAACAGTTTCGATTGACGAATCTGATAATTGTTGATTCCCTTCTCGATTCATCAATTCAAACTGAATTATTTCAACTGCTAAAAAAAACACTACCATCACCAATCTTCGACTTGTCTTCAAAATGGGCTCAAACGTTTTCAGTGAACTTGTTAATGTTCTAACGAACAATAATTACATTATCTGCTTGGATCTATCTGTATATTTGAATATAAGTGATGACGACGCCATTATGTTAGCTAGCGCGTTAGAGACCAATGTCGTTCTGCAAAATCTTATACTGGGCTCAAGTCAAATTGGTGACATTGGTTTTCAAGCGCTTCTCTCCTCGTTACTCAATACGTTGACTCAATGAGCAGTAGAAGAAAGTCTAACCAGTGCAAAAAGTCTACCTACTTTACTTGCTTTTATCAAAACCCATCCTATTTTAGAGAAAGTTTCTATCGAAGCCAATGCTATAATCAGCAGTAATTCAACTGAAGTAAATGTGCCCGACTTAGTGGAGAAAATACTCAAAATTACAAATGCAAATCACTGTATTTTTACGTTAGATATCAACGAAAAGATCAGACAAAACATGACAGAATCGACAAATGGAGATATGAATTTAAAGGGTGTAGAATTACGAGATAATCATATACTTCAATTATGTAATGAAATAAAAAAGGAGCCGAATCGAAATTAGTCACCGGATTTATCAAGCAACGATTGAATTTCGTTTGTTGGATATCGCCATTTGGCTAACATTCTGTCTTCTACAATTACTATTGTTGAATTGACTATGACATACAATAATATGAACGAAGAAGCACGGGCTCATCTTCTCAATGGTCTATGCAATAATAAGACACTGAAGAAATTCTCCATAAGTACGAACGATCTTAACAATCAAGACATGCAATATATTAGACGTTTCATACAAAACAATTTAGCACTTAAAGAAATCTATTTGTACTCGTGCCACATCGATGATGATGGAGCTGTTCATCTAACTGAAGGTTTACCTGAAAGTAATTTAGAGAGAACACTTGAAATGTCTCAAAATTCAATTTTCGGAAAATATTGCGATAGAGACAATAATGCTTCGTGGCAACAAGCAAGTCAAGCTTCGAAACAAAATAAGGTCCGTGAACTTATTTAACAGTACTATTGATGTGTCTGCTTTTTGCTCTAATAATATTTACTTTTAATGTAGTCGTATAGAACTAACTGTATTCAGCTTTCAAATAAAATAATCTTTTACTATAGTAACTCATTAACTTGTATTTATAGCACGAACAATTTCGTTATTATAATTGCTACGTAGTTAATTCCCCCCGAAGTTTCTTTGTGTGAAAATTCTATAATGAAAGGACCCATATCGACAATGTATATACATTGTACTCAGTATTGATTTTTATAACGAGTTTGTCAGACAGCTACGACGAGAACCAAACCGATTTTCTATCGCTACGATATTTTTTTTTATTTCCATCGATTTCTGACGATCTTCGATGCTTTGAAATCTTATGAACCGTGTTTATATTTTCAATGAGAACTTGTATATCACAAATGGGACTAGCTTTTGTGATTAGTTATACAGCATAATCTAATTCTAACCCGTGATTCGTAGAGAATGGGATGCGGTCAATTTTATTTTTTTGGAAAATAAAAGCACATCCCGAAGGTTCTATTTGCAGCTCATTTGATAGAGAATTTTCCACTCTGCAAACTACTGGCAGTATTTTCCAGATACGTTTTTCTTGGCTGATAACAGATTGGAAAAACTGACAGATACCCAACTTCACTCGTTCAAAATCTATAGGACACCGATAGATTAGGGTCGCAAACTGCCACCCTTTGGTTTGGAACCTGAATATGTTTAAGTTGATTAGTCTTATTGGCCAGTAGAGCATACTGGACTTTAGGTGTTAATTTTGTACCTCGGATAGTTTTTTTTTATTCCATTGACCTAACTTTAGAGGCTCACAAGACAGAACGATGTAGTTTTTCACGCTCTACAAAATGAATATGGTTATTTATACTCATGTCTTCTTTCTGAGCCTTAGCAACATCAACAATGTTCATTAGGCGGCATTTACGAGTTAAAAAATACTATTCTTTCAGATTTTATACGAGGTCTTGCCACTGAAAATAAGAAAGTATGCCAAAAACTCATTGACCAGAAATTGTGCCGATCCATACCCTAGAAATTTACATTATTTCCAAAGAAAAATATTCTCTTCTATGATACTCTTTTTTAAGGATATTATCGGATAGGTACCATTTTTGCAATTTCTTTAAGAAGGAACTCTGATAAACTTGGGCAAAAGTTGATAGCTGAGCATCTCTGATTTGGATGATTTTTTAATATATTGTAGGCGGCATAAACTATATAGGATTTTCCAACAGTTTCAGACCCGAAACTTGTATTGATGAAACGAGAGTATCATTACATTGATGGTGGTTTTCATGCATAATTATTTCAAACAGACAGTTTTGCACATTTTTATCACTCATACCTCTTCATCGAGACCAACAACAAATTATATCGATTCAAACACATCAAAGCACTGATTCTGACTTAGTCTAGCTATCTATGTTAAAAAATGTGACGAGGAAATAAAACTTTCATGATCATTAGTAGTAGTATGTTTAGGTACTATGATAGGATCATACACAAAGATATTATACTTGTGTGCCATGTTGTGACCAGCATCGACGAGATATAGAGCTGAAATTTCTAACAGAGTTTCAGAACACGATGATCCACAATTGATGAAAGTTTCATGTGTGGTTCATGAGCATCAACTGCATAGTCGAGAAACAACGTCTGCTGATTAATTTGAGTTATCTCTTGACCAGAACATAGACTAAGCTCTGCAGATATATATCTTTAGTCTTGATCTATCATATCCAGTTTGAAAAGTCTTAGCACGAAGACACAAAAGCCAAAATATTGCTGTCTTATATTAAAGTCGTGTTGAGATATAGGTGAAACACCATAACCCACTATTTTTCAGCAATCAGAATAGCAACATTTTTATCCGTTACATTTCAGGGTTTTTTTTCTTCATCAAAACTTTAATATATCTCGAAATTTTGTATACCATTTGGTAGCTCGTCTGAAGCTCTACAAGATCTAATTTTTCATAGGAAGGATATTAAAACCTAAAATTTTGGAGTAGGTAGTTTTAGACATCGATGCTTTGAATGAGAAAAAAAAATTTTTATCGAGTGACTCGTATACTCGGTTTTCTCATGGACGCTCTCTTAATTCCTTCTAGTTTTCTTCTAACATATTATTGGTAATATTACATAGTAGTTGACGCTTGACAGAGACGAAATTCATATATCGATAATTCCAACTTTTCATTTGACCCTTGTGTAAAAAGTCTTCGTATAAAGTATTCGGTCAGTTTTTGGTTTTTTTAAAGCAGCTACTTAGACTTAAAAACAATAAAATTTGGGATTTTGTATTCTTTCTGACTATGAGCTCAGAAATCGTTTACGTTTTTTTTCGCAAGTGTAAGGAGAGAGTTTTTGACAGGCCTCACAAAAAGCTAATTTGCGCAGGGAATTTTTCGTACATTTTCACTGTTAGTTTTTGAAACTTTTGTTGATATATTAGTTTGTAGAGTAAAATTGACTCTTCAAAACGCACTACTTCACTTCATTTTTGTCTTCAAACAAGGCAACTAAAATTTCATTTTTCTGCCATTCTCACTTTTAGAAGAATCAATATTTTGACGCAAGCGTCTTTTATGTAGACAAGCAGCTCTTCAAAACATGCTTTTAGCTTCAAACTATAGTTTTGTGCAATATCACATTTTGTAACAAAGTGTTCGCTCAACAAAATTAGTGACTCGGACAAATTTTAACATCGTCACAAAAGTATTCATGAGAATTAGTAGAAATTTGTTCATTTACCGTGCAAAACCAATTTTTAGGTATTCAAAGGTTCTCTCACTACTCTCGAACAAAACAAAAGGCACACGATTCCTGAGTCCATATTCCGAAAGAGCACTAAATTCCTAATCTTACTAAATATTTTGAACTCTCAATAGTTACTTTTAACAGGCCAAAAACTGACCGAATATTTTGTACGAAGAGTTTTGACGCAGGGATTACATGCTGACAATAATATCATAATTTTTCACAAAATTCATGGTACTGCTTATGTTAGACTATGTATTACTTTGTAATTTTCAAGTTTAAAACAAGAGTAATATGCTTTTTTCTATGAGAGATCTATCATCTCTTTCGATAAAAGAAGCTTTTCTATAGTGTTCATTGTAGTGATTTAATCTCATATCATGATATCAATCAAAAACTTTCTTTCTCGAAAAGTAAAAGAAATTAATACTGAACTTTTTCCTGATCAATGTAAGTAAGATATTCAATATTGCATATAGTTAATATCTGCGATTAGTGGAGCGCTTCTGTTGATGTAAAAGTTATAAATGTGAATATAGTTAATAATTGATATGAGATTGAACGATATATTCCAAATTCACTGAATCAGTTTCCTAAGATAACGTAAAATACGAAAGTATTCAATATGTCTTATGAGCTCCAGTCAATCTTATTCGTTGATTCCATGACAATTTGCTACAGTACCATAAACAATTCATAATCTTATATCGATTAGTATAGCACTTTGGCTACTTGTTAAATGGCGTATCACTTCCTTTGAAAAATTGCGACTACTATTTCGATGACCTTAACAAATAGACTTTGAAAGAATCTATAATCAAATAGAACAGGTTCTATGGAATTTCGATAGAAATGTGAAAAACTTTCGAAATCCTACCAGAATTAGGATAATAAACATTATTGTTGGCTATTTTATTGAGCACTTTTAACCGAAATTTTAACAATATTCACAGTAGATAGGACTGTATTCAACTAGTTAGAACTTACAAAATATGACATCAAAATATTGAACTATTGTTACATGACTTAAGTCTATACACGCGTCCCACGTTTTTGTTTCTTTTTCTTCTTTAATTTTCTTGTGCTTGGCTCACATTCCATTGACGATCGAGAAGGTAAGGTTGACGTGAAGATCTACACCCTCAAGAACACTGACTACTGCAAAAACTTCGGAGTTATTTTGTTTCACAGCAATGATTTTAAGTGTTTTCTATGGTATTTCGTAGGTCACGACCAGAAAAAGTACAGTTTGGATAAAGTCTAAATCATCTTATAAATTAGTATTTAATGTTGACTAAGATTATTTGAATTTTTTATCATTTTGTTGACTTTGTTGGTGGAAAAAATTATCCATAGTCTCCCTCAAAACTAAGCCAAAAAATGAATATCGTCAAAATGACGTTTGTATGGTTTAGACATATAGTATTTATTGTTCTAGTATGATCGTGCAGCCTTAGAACTTTTCTCAT